ATGTCCCACTGAATAGAGCTGTGATGAGTAATAGCTATATCAATCTTTGTTGAGTATAACATTCAGTGATGTAGAATTGCTGTCACTTTATCAACTAACGCAGAATATTGTTATATATTGAAGGGTGTGAATAAATTGAGCCATTGCAGCCTGCTTGGGACATTTGCCTTGTTGTTTACCACATTTTGGTTGTTGTTTTTTTTGGCACCTAAATCCATAATTGTACCTGTTTTGTGTAAGTTCACATAATACAGACAAACACATTCTCTGCCATGTTCTACCTTTTGCATAAGGTTCAAAGCCTTGTTGCATATAGTGCATACACAACAGTTGGTGAAGTGCATGAATCAAACCAAAATTGCACGACAAAGTGGAAGCTACCATATCGGCTGTTGTGGGACCGTTTATCTTTGCCTACAAATGGTGCACTGTTGCATGTTAGCATTGAACACACAGTCACAATTAATTGTTTTCCCAATCAGTTATGAAGCATCGTGGGCTTTTTGTAACCGACACATTGAAAAACTGTCTGACAGAAAAGATTAATTGTGTCCTTGAACAATTAATTACTACAGGATGATTGGCAACAACTAACACATGCCAGAAATAATTAGAAGGGTAAAAAAAGAATGTTTTTATTTTGTTTTAAACCATCTCTTGAATGGATGTTGGAGGATGCTAACAGCAAAGCTAAGCAAAAGTTATGATTATGATAAGAATCTAAAATCCGTTTTTTTAAGAATGATTTTTGAGCTAGCCAAGTATGTATGATATTATCTTTGACAATCTACCAAATCTACATATTCATTTACTTGGTGTTTTTGCTAGAAGACTCTTCCCTTAAGATATCCCCCCTCCATATTTATGCAGATTGCATGTTTTCAGAACTTTAAATGCTATGTTCAGTTTTGCATAAAAAAAGGAATATCTTACCCCATAGAATTAGCATGTGTTTGAGTGCTTCTGGGGGATTGGAAGCACACTCTGATGCTGTAAAATGTGAGGTGTGCAGGGAGACATTTTCTTGAATTAGATTGCTTATTGAGCAGTCCCTTGAATAATGCATTACCCTGTGCATGTCATCCTATACAGCTCTGCATAGATCTGTCACTACTTTCACTGGAGCTTCAAAGTTTCTGTCGTTTCAAGACAACGACACTGGTTGCAAACTCAATGGTGGAGGGAGGGAGTATACAGAAAATACATTTGTTAAACCACAGGTTGTGTTTGAATGTGAGGTTTTACAGGATTGTCCAATATCAAAGTCTTGTTAAGTGAATGTGTGCGGTTGAGGTTTCGGAAGATTACAACGAAAAGGTCAGGCGATTGGAATATGAAGAAGTTAAATATCACACACAGATTTAATTGGAATCCTCTCATTCGATGTGGGGCGAGCGTGTTGTCATGAAAGAGTTTGTCAACAAGAAACTTTGACCTGACTGTGACTATGCATTATGAAGAGTTAGGGTTAGGGTCAACAAATAATTAGGAGTTATCGTCCAGATGGTACACAAATATAAAGTCATGCTGACAGTTGTACAACAGTTGCTACCCTGAAAAAAGGGTAAAAAACGCAAAGCTGTTTGAAAATATCCTTTCAAGAATAAATGCAGACTTGCAACGATTAGGCTACATGTCTTACACCGATTTTCTCACAACTACAATACTGTATATATTTTGCTAAAAATACATTACACATAATGTGAATTGAAAATATACTTTAAAAAATATGCAATAGTACTACCAAAAAAACAATCAATGCATTATTTACTTAAAAAAGTAGCCTACATAAATAAAACTCAATCATGTAGTCACTTGCCATTTAACAATCTTAAAATTCATAGTGATATCAGTTCCCTTAGTTAATACTGTACACTTGGACACTTCAAATCTCAATTTCAATCAAGTAAATGTTTCAAGTTTAGTAACAATAGGCGCTTTCACACCAAGTACTTTGCCGTACTTAGTTCATGAGCAGATCGCGTTCACACTGGAATAAGTCCCTGAGGGAGGATTAGGCAAATGAAGCTGCTGACGTCACTTCTTCTTCTTCTGCTTTCGGTTTACTGGCAGGCCGCAAACCACTTAACGGCGTATACTGCCACCCGGAGTCCCCGGCCGGAAGTCCCCGGAGTTGGGGAAGGCTTCAGTAGAAGCTGCTGGGACTCCCAGCAGCTTCTACTGAAGCCTTCCGAGTAAATCGCCAGAACGCCGACACCTCCTCATCTCCACCACTCCCATGGTTTCTGTTGTGTTGCCATAAGTTAGTCTCTCTGCGTTTCTGCGCTGGGCTAATGCTAATAATGCTAATGCGAGCAAATAAAATGGCGGCTTCACAAAACTTTTTGGGAGTTTTACGGGGCGTGGTTTGCAATCCGCCCAGCCAATCAGACATAGGAACCTTTTTCTCCCACGAAAGCCCCTGCTCTCTAGCAGGGACTGAAAAGGGGGTGGAAAGGTTCTCATGAACTAATTTTAGTTCCGGATTTTTTTGGTGTGAACGCACATTTTCGGAACTATATCGGAACTAAAGTGGGAAGAGTACTCCGGTGTGAAAGCGCCTAATAGAGGAGACCCAGATAATGAAACCACAAAAACAATAAATCATCCCAGTTTACCATAATCATTACCATATGGAGCACATGTTTTATTTTCGAATAACACTGTGTCCAGGCAAGCTAGTTATTGTTCTCCATCTACTGCACCATATGTAGTTTAAATGTAATGTCAACAGCTGTCCAATAGAAATCTTAAGTACTCCTCAGATTGATTTACGAGCTAACTTCCTGGTTAATACAGACTTCATGAAGCCATATTCTGTACCACTTGGGAAAGCATGGAAACTCAATGAGGAAGTGGGAAGGGCAAAAAAAAAGACCTGACTTCCTGATAATATATTAATCATCATCATCCGGCCTCACTTTTAGACCATGATTTAGCTGTACTGTGTGAAGGCTGAGGATCTCATTACCTTAAGCATAGATGCAAACTCGTATTTCCTGATCTTATTACTCACACTTAATAAGAATAAAGTTGTATCTGATCAAATATCACCGTAACTGCTGTGCTGAAACATTCTTTATTTATATATCCCACGGAGTTAAAGTCCCATTCTCATCATTCTCTTTAAGCGAAGCTCGTAGATTAAGTTATATTTCCTTCTGTCTAACTTTTTTATCTTTTAACACTCTTCCTTCTCATGCATGCATTTAAACATATTATTCGCCATAATCAGACAACTCAATTACAGAACCCAAAAAAGAAAAAAACTAAAATGGTAGTGTAAATGAACCAATCGTTAAATCTTCTGTTTTTCAGAGATGAAGCACCCCGGAAATTCTCTACCAGCGACACTGCTGCTCAGTTTATACACAATTCTTAAAGAAAATATGATTTTTAAAGCATGATCAGGGGCATCGCACTAAGTGAAAGTCCCACAAAAACATTTATTAGGATTTATATTACACTGAACAAAAATATAAACGCAACACTTTTGTTTTTGCTCCCATTTTTCATGAGATGAACTCAAAGATCTAAAACATTTTCTATAAACACAAAATAACCATTTCTCTCAAATATTGTTCACAAATCTGAACAAATCTGTGATAGTGAGCACTTCTCCTTTGCCGAGATAATCCATCCCACCTCACAGGTGTGGCATATCAAGATGCTGATTAGACAGCATGATTATTGCACAGGTGTGCCTTAGGCTGGCCACAATAAAAGGCCACTCTGAAACGTGCATTTTTGCTTTATTGGGGGGGTCTGGGGGGGGTCCGAAAACCAGGCAGTATCTGGTGTGAGGGGTAGGGTTAGGGTTAGGGTAATGTTGTGAATCGAGTGGCCCATGGTGGTGGTGGGGTTATGGTATGGGCAGGCGTATGTTATGGACGACGAACACAGGCCACTCGATTCACAACATTACCCTAACCCTAACCCTAACCCTCACACCAGATACTGACTGGTTTTCGGACCCCCCCAGACCCCCCCAATAAAGCAAAACTGCACGTTTCAGAGTGGCCTTTTATTGTGGCCAGCCTAAGGCACACCTGTGCAATAATCATGCTGTCTAATTAGCATCTTGATATGCCACACCTGTGAGGTGGGATGGATTATCTCGGCAAAGGAGAAGTGCTCACTATCACAGATCTTTTCAGATTTGTGAACAATATTTGAGAGAAATGGTTATTTTGTGTTTATAGAAAATGTTTTAGATCTTTGAGTTCATCTCATGAAAAATGGGAGCAAAAACAAAAGTGTTGCGTTTATATTTTTGTTCAGTGTACTTCTTGTTAGTCTTCTTTGCCATTTTTACATTTTCTATGTAGAATCCAAGATGTACATTGACTTTTAAATGGACAACTGCAAGAAAGGCTAATGAAATATAAATCCAGAAAAGAGTTTGATACTGTATCTGACAGCTGAAAACCTGGTTCTGGTCGCATTCACTTTATAAAAAGACAACAATTAGGCTATGTCAAAAAGAAAAGGAGTGATTAAATCCATCCATTTTCCTTGTCTTTAAAGCATTGATACTTCTTAATGACATGCACGATGAGCACACAGCGTTAATGGCGCCTTAATGGAGTCACTGGGACTTCTGTCATTTACAACAAAGGGCTCGAATCACATGGCACCAAACGATTACACCTCTGCATGGACACATAATAGCATGGACAACAAAATAAATAATTGAACTAATAAAACAAAAAAAGGTCGGCTAAACTAAATGAAGGCATTTCCAGATAATTGTTCGGCATAAATCAGGACTCTATATCCTATTACCACTTAAATTGCCACTGGAGACACGTCTCAATTCAAATCAGTCTTCTCCGTGCCGAGGTGTTGTGACAGGCGGTTCAAATTGATATGTCTTGTCGGCTTGTGGTTGTTTCCTGTCTAAACACTTAAAGCACCTGTTTCTGCCACTGACTAATTGGCTTCGCCACAAACATGCCAAGTTAAAACTCATCCGTGTTATTTTTTTGCTTGTTTTCCAGGAAGCAGCATCCTGCAGAGCCCCGTGTTCACCAAGCAGCCTGGCAGCATTGTGTATCCTGTGGAGATAGTGGAGAAGAACAGGGAGGTGGTGTTCAGCTGTGAAGCCCAGGGAAACCCACCCCCCATGTACCGGTGAGTGTGTGACAGCAGGGTTTCATCTACTACCCCCCTCTACTCATTTTTCCCTCCCATTGATTTATACCACTGACAATGTCAACGCCGTTCATTTTCTAGACAAGCTGTCGATGGCAAACATCTCCATCTTGTCTTAAACATTCCTTCTGTCTGTGGTAGCAGCTCCCAGAGAGTCTACAATTGGAGAAATTATATATGTCCCATACTTCCTGTCCTATAATGTAACATGTTCATTTTATTTTAACCCAAGCAGTACATTATGATTATACTAAAAGCCTGATTATTCTATGGGCACAGGCTCATTCTCATCTATTAACACATGGTTCCTGAGAAAGTAATCAGATGCTTTTCTCAAGTAGAAAATCCAACTAACAAGGTTTATTTTTAGTAAGTATGAGAGTAGGAGAAAAGTCAGTATTTAATAATTCAAAGAAATGCCACTACGGACATACTTCGGATGGACTAACATTGTATCGCATGTCAAATATTTTCTTAATTTAAATTTGATTTGTCTCCTTGTAGTTTCTGAGATACAGATATTTTCTTATGATACCATGATATATGTAGTCTTTTTTATTTATTTTATTTATTTATATATTTATTTTACAGGGACAGTGCACATTGATTGACATTTCTGTAAATGTGCCAGAGTTAGCCAACAGGCTATTTTTTGTCTGTAATCCCTGGACAGATGTTGAAAGTCATCCTAAAAACAAAAATTCACTTCAAATAACGGGAAAATACAATCAGTAAAACAACATTCAACAGAGATGCTTATATTATGATAAAAGCATGTATAAAAAGTTAAAAACTAAACTAAAATACATATTCACAAAGCAGACAGATAGCAACAGGTCAAGGCACATGTACAGTACAAACAGAGCGTTGTAAAGTGCCAGTGTTGACAGAGCTGACTTTCCACTAACCATGTTTTTAAGTTAGATTTAAATAAACTGCGGGTGTTTTGTTCTTTGGTCACATGTGACTTTTGTTTTATCCTATCGTATAATTAAATATATATAAATAACTCACTTTTCAGCAAATGTATCAGGCTTAGAGGCACTAATGGGTTACTAGAAAATTAAGGGATTTTCCACAACTGATGAATTAATGACACTTTAATGTCAAGTTAAAGCAAATTCTACCTTCAAAACTGCTAGAATCAGCACAACTTAAAGGATGAGTCTGGTTATTATTCTGTATTGTTCTAGTTGTCAACTGTATATTCGAATATTCGTTCGTTTGATTACTATTCGGGTTTCAATTTTGTTATTCGGTTATATTCGTTTTGTTTTTTTTATAGCCGCGCTGCACTGCGGCTGCCAAATTGAATTTATTGAAATCTCCAATATCAACGTAAGAGCTTGTGCCTCTTCGGGGGGTGCTAATAACCATACACTTTATCGTTTACTTTCTCCGTCTTTATATGTAGATATTACTTTTCTCCGTTAATCTCCGTCACATTGTTTCCATAGCAACAACAACTTCCTGTCAACAGCGCTAACTCTCCTTCAAAATAAAAGCATGTCCATACAAAATAGGAAGCCAAGCCAAATTACACTTACGACATATACAACTGCAACGAAAGTAACAAACACAATGCGATATCCTTTTCAATTTCAAAGAACACAAATTGGGTTACATTAACAAATAACTATAACACAACAATACTGTAAAATAACAAAATGAATGCCGTGAATAAACTGAAATACACGCGTTGAAGCGGTTCGCTGCCGATTACTACGCACCCCCCCTGCACGGGCCGAATATCCGAATATTCGCTGCTGATTACTACCGAATATCCGGAGCCCGAAAAATGGTATTCGGGACAGCCCTATTGTCAACAAATTCATTAAAAATATCAAAACCAACAATGAATTCACCTCCTAGCTCTTACATCTTATACGTGTTACATAGTTATCTCATGTAAATCTATATATTTTTTATGCTAACCCTAATCTTTTTCTAAACTTAAAGGTGACCTATCATTCAAAATGCACTTTTTGATGTCTTTTATACATAAATATGTGTCCCCGGTGCGTCAGGGAACTCAAGGAGCGTCAGAAAATAAAACCCTCTCTCTTTTCCTCCGTACCCAAATATCTAAAAACGGGGGAACAACAGAGCTGATCCAGATTTGCATCTGATATGACGTAATATCGGAAATGTAGGCTGGCTTTACACCCACGGCCCTGTCAGCAAGAGAGAAAGGCTTTGAGCTCCATACTGTTTCAGAAATACTCCATGATATGGCGTCGAGGCTAGAATGGGTGATCTGTTTGGTATTTGGAGCAAAACACTTCATAGACATGTTTTTTTATATATTTTTATTAGGGCTGTCAAGTTAAGGCGTTAATAACGCGTTAACGCAAAAAAAAAATTAACGCCACTAATTATTTTAACGCGATTAACGCATGTGTATGTTTTTTCCTCGGCCGCCCCGTAGTTTCAGAGCGCATCGAGTTTAAAATACCATCTACAAGCTAATGCTGACAGCCCCGCTCCTGCCGCCCGCTTGTGGCAGACCACACTTCCACGCTCACCGGCAGGCACCGACTGGCTATTGGGAGGACCGGGAGGGTGTCTGTATGTGTGGCCCGAGCGAGCGAGAGAGAGACCTTACGTGCATTGTTGTTGTTAGCATCTGGTGCTAGCTAGCTGCGCTAACGGATCTAAGGAGCTGTTTAAATGAAAACAGAGGAGCGACATTTCGCCACAACTGCGCCGAGCACTTGACTTTATGCAGGAAGCCAGACAGTGGGACATTGTACGAGAAGTCAGCACACTCAGCACGGATAGTGCACAACATGATTGCAGCGTCCAGCCAGCTCCCGTTCGAGCATAGACTTGAGTTGCACATAGCTCCAACGATCCAACACACACACACACACACACACACACACACACACACACACACACACACACACACACACACACACACACACACACACACACACACACACACACACACACACACACACACACACACACACACACACACACACACACACACACACACACACACACACACACACTTTGTATTGTATTATTGTATGAGAGAGGCTCCAGGTTGAATTGAGGCGAATATTTGTAATGTTCAGAGGTTGTTGTGTTTAATATTCATGAGAATATTTGTCATTGTTCAAATGATAATAAACATTTGCATAAAGCATATTTGTCCACTCATATGATGATAAGAGTATTAAAAACTTGAAAAATATTCCTCTAAGGTACATTTAGAACGGATAAAAAATGTGCGATTAATTTGCGATTAATCGCGATTAACTATTTTAATCGACTGACAGCCCTAATTTTTATATATCTGACACATATCATGCTATTGCCTAAACATAGCATGATAGGTGACCTTTAACTAAGTTATTTTGTTTCAATTCCCAAAGCTTAACCATTAGTTTAATACTGTAACTGTTTCCCCGGGGGAAAATAAGTTCCCCTTCAAAACGTTTATGAGAATACAAGACAGTGCTCCTAACCCATAGACAGGAAAGGGAAGACAGAATGTATTGAGTGACAGATAAAATGTGACTGTCCCATATCTAGACTCGCTGTCCCTTAAAACAATTTTTCCCCACCCACTCTCTGCCATGCCTCCCAGAGGAGCTCTTCTTCTCTGCTCTTTCCTCACCTCTTCCTGTCGCTGTCTCTTTTTTAAATCAAAGGATGGATGAGGAGAGAAAGAGGTCAAACCATATCCCCAAATCCCCCACAGTCACTTTATAATTAAGTCAAAAAATAGTATATATAGGCCCTGGCTAGCCATAGATCTGGAGATTGTTTTCAGGTGAGACATACAGTTCAGAAGTGGGTGTCCATACATGATTTAAAGCCGGTGACAAGGTGGAAGAACTCAGAGCTGTTACTTTAGTAAAGTAACAACAAGTGTAAGAATACCAAGGAAGCGCTGCATGGAAACACGTCCAGGGTTTTCAGTTGAGTTTTCAGCCAAACATATTTTTGATGTATTTTCATGGGATTGATTTGTTGACGATAATCAAACCTATGCTTCAGAACTTTCCAGTGTCATATTTACTATGTCTTTTGAGGAGGAACATTTCTACATTTCTAAATGTTATAACTTCAGATTGTGGCCTGTACAATAATGACAGTTTTGGGAATACGATTATGGTTATGATCACCCCAGGAGTAGTTTTGGGTTCCTTGCTCAAGTACACCTCAGCAGTGCTCTTTGGCATGGTCCCATGATGACCAAAACAATATGTTACGCACAATAGAGACTTGAACTTCCCAAGCCAAATCCCTCAGCCATTGTCATACTTTTTTGAGTGTTTTTGCTAAGTGTTACTGTAGATCTATGGTTAGAGTGCAACAGGACATTTCAAAAGCAGATGCAATGTTTCAGATTTGCCTTAATGTAAAACAGATTAACCATAACATACATCTCACCCGCTATCTCAATTCAAATGTCACTCTATCTTAATTGCATCCACACCAGCATGGGAGCAATTGGAAGCTCAAGAGATGCCAAATGGCCATAAGAAAGACATGTTTGTTTTACTACAATACAGTTGTGACAGTATAAGCCATGGTATGTTTTATCAACATCTATTTTTTAAACATTAATTCATCTCTGGAACACTGATATGGTCTTGCTTCCAATCATTTAGAGATGTTTGTTGAAAACACAAGGACATGCATGTGAAAACACATGTTCTCAGTGGGCAGTCTGACTGACACTACATGCCTCCTACAATTCCAATGTATTGATTTAGCTTTTAAAACTGAGTGCAATAGAATTTGAAAAATGGTTGTCAAAAGTTTTCTTTATGCTCGTGTACATTTGTGATAGTATAATACGAATACAAGGTAAATACAGAATTATGGATTTCCAGCTTTTCAAACTGAAACGATAAACCTTACAACAGAGAACACATATTGTTCTTTTGATCTCAGACAATTTAATCCATAAACTCTACACTTTGTTCTAAAACTGGAAACCAGAAAGTTTCTAATCTGAC